ATAAGATCGACTAGGGACGCGGAAAGGGCAGCGGAGCTTGGCCACCTCCAGGAAGAGAGCTCGAGAACGAGGAGCGCGTTGGAGTACAACTGGATAAGGTTCCCGCCAAATATTGCCGGCATGTTCTGTATGAGCACTGTGCCTGCTCGGTATACCCAATGTGGCGTGACGAAGACATGGATGCCGCCAAAACTGACTACAGCCTCTCTGTTTGTGATGGTTAGCATGACACCCTTCAAGGCACACGGATATCACGTACAGTACATGCCATGCACTCCCCCAACAGGGATTCAGCAACAGGTGCGTTATGTGTAAAGTAATGCGTATGACAGGGAGTAGCTCGTCTCTCTCATCAAAGAGCGGTAACAGCTTCTTGACGTTCTCCTTGGCGATGTGGTCGCCTTTGCGAAAGCGATTTTGCATGCGATATAATGAGCAGAGGTATTCTGCGGGCTTTTCTTTGTCGAAACACATTTCTTCATCCTGCGATGAATGAGCCATTAGCCTCAAACGGGTGCGCAGCTGATAGACTCACCGGCTCTGGAAACAATGCGGGTCTATCCAGTGTAGATGCAATCTGGTTCTCAAGACAGAATATGGTCATGTGCATGGCTCGCAGTAGTTGGACATCGTCGGGATCCAGCTCTTGTAACGCTCTTTTTGACTCAAGATCGAATGCAAGGCGGCCCGCAAGAGCTATCTGCTGGCCAATGTTGCCAGCTATTGGGTCAAATGAGCTATTGATAGCGAGGAGAAGAACCGAACGGATTGTGTCGATGTTTGGTTCCATCGTTGCTAATTCCAGGTGTTCCATGGCATCTGCAAAGTATTGAGTAGCAAGGGCTCGGTATCTGATGGAATTGGCCTGGTGGTATGTGAGCCTGCCCCTAGGGTTCCAGCAAGTATCAGGAGGTTGCTTTTTGCGAGTATTGGGAAGGATGTAGCATGCTATGGAATATATCATATACAAGGAGAACTTCTCGGTGTCCGTTAGGTCACTGGGTACCTCGGGTCCGAGATAACGGAGCGATGAATCCAAGATTGGATATATAGGTTGTACAGTTTCGAGATAGAGTTGCACCAGCTCATACTGCTTCTCGGGCGAATCTTTGTTGCTGTAGTGCCAGTCATCAAGCTCTTCGTCAGTCTGTACGGCACGGTTTTCGTGCGCAGTGTGTAGTCTGGGGGACTTGAGAAGGCAGGATTCAGCGCCAAGGTATCGATAGCTGTTTCCCGCTTCGGCGAAGTGATGTTCGTATCGAGGAACTTCAGAAGCGATGAATTCTGTTTTGACGTGTGTAGCAAAGGCGCCATTGTCCGTGAGCCCGCCGGATGTTGCTGGCGACCCATGGCCACTTGACAAATTGCGCACACGATCTACTAGCTCGCTGATGTAGCTGGGCATGTCTTAGTACGAGTTTGAGGACAAGCCATGTCTGCTCACCTTCGCGGTAGCAGTTGATTGCGTCCGTGGTCGTAGAACATGCATTCCACGCCGGCTTTTGTGCATTGCCTGACGGCGTTAGCAGGACGCGCAGGGTGGGACAGCGAAGCCATGTACCTGCACTTGGGTAATAAGGTATCGCACCCGCGGCGACACTCTCGGCATCTCTTGCATGCGGGGAGACTCTGGGGAAGTGTAAGTGCACGATGGCGAATTGCGGAGACGGCGGCGTTACCTGAATCAGAGCATCTAGATCGAGCGTGGGGGGCTTCGAGGTCGCGGCGGCCATCGGAGTGGGTAAACTGCAAGGAGGGGACAGGTACGGATCAAGGTCTAGCAGAGCTCTCGTCTGTACTACGATTCATCGCGCGCCGTCGTCATGTCAGCGACAATAGCTGGAGACGCGATGGGAGGCCTGGGCGGAGTGGATGGCGAGCGAGGACGATCTTATCTGGCTAGGGCGTCCCAACACAGAAGCGATCACCCCGGCCGCCTGCATCCCGCGTGCCCACAGTCCGCCCACATGCCAGCATCCCGTCCTTCGTTCGAGAACACCAGCCATCGGGCATCATCACCGCCAGCAAGTCCTTCATCTACGCCATGACAGCGGCGCCATCGTGGTACAGACGCCAGACGCTCGAGGTTGGCCATGCAGAACCGCACCAAAGTCCGTCGTCGCGTGCTGGCCTGTGCTCGCTGTCGGAAGCGTAAACTCTCGGTAGACGCTTTCCTCTGCCCTCGTCATACATGAACTGACTTCATCAAGTGTGATGGCAAGGTTCCCGCCTGCACTCGTTGCGTAGATGCTAGCGTCCAGTGTGTTGGATTCGATTCTTCAACCCAGCAGGAAGCTCCGCGCTCTATTGCCGACTTTCTGGAAGCGCACATCGCTCGGCTCGAGGGCCAAAGCAGCACGCCCTCAACGCTGCCATCTCTAGGACAGTCAAGTGCTACTCTGTCATCTCCGGCGGATTCTCACGCATCTGACTCGAGACCGGGGAATTGGCGTCCAGAAAAATGTGCCTTCGCCGACAGCCTCGTTAATCAGGTCATGCAAGACATCACACCTTCTTTCCTCGGTGTGTGCAAAGCTCGGCCCTTCTTACAGTGCGTCATCAGAGGCACGAGGCTGCCTTCGAAAAAGGGACCTGTTCTTTCCAACGATCTGAACGAGAACCACCCCCGATCCATTTTGAACCCTCCAGCTCAGCAGACCAGGGGGCTCTTCTATGACCTCATGCCTGACGAGGTTGGCGCCAACAAACTACTCCAAAACTACCTAGATCGCGTCATCACACAATACCCCATCTACCATCGGAACGACGTGACAACTGCTTTCAACTCCATCTACCACAAAAAAGCAGTAACGCCAAATGAAGACTCTTTCCGAAATCGATACATAGTCTGCATCATCATGGCCATCTCGCTAACAACAAGCGCACGGAACAATGTGCAGAAGGCGAACGACCTTGCCTATCAGCTTGTTCGACACGCTATGCAATGGATTCCAGAGGTTGCAACCAACGATATTGCTGGACTACAAGCTATACTGCTGTTAACCCAATACATCTTCCTGAATCCTAAGATGGCCGATCTATGGCTCATGACAGGTCTCATCAGCCAAGCAGTCATTGACTTGGGACTGCACCAAGAGCTGCCGAATGATGCCAAAGTCACCGCTTACCAACGCGACATGCGACGACGTATATTTTGGTGTGCATGGGAAATGGAAGTTGGCGTCTGCTGCATATTTTTGCGCCCTACAAGTCTTCCGGTTGGGCGCATAGATGTTGCTTTTCCTATGGAGATTGACGACACCGCCATTACGCAGTCTAACATATCATCCACTGGACGTCTATCGAAATTCACACAGCGTATCATTTGTCGCTTTCGCCTTATCGAAGCTGACGTCATATCCGTCTTGTGGCATGAAGACCCTATATCTCACGAGTACTCCTCGTTGGAGGAATGGGTACAGCACACTATCAATGCCATGTCAGATTGGCAACGCGAGATATATGCCGCTTCAGAGGCCAACAAAGATCGTAGCCTGAATGCACGATGGACTGAGATGCGCTTGTACTCCGACATCGCAACCCCTTACGTCTTGTCCTTGTTGCATCGTACCTCTCGGCGAATACCAAACCCAAGTAAAGAGCAAATGATGATCGCTTTGATCAATGCTGTCAAGGTTGCTGACGGCTACTTTCAACAATCTGAGGCAGAAGCGGGCAAGATCAAATACGTCTTCCATCCATGTCATCATGTCTTCAACTGTGCGCTCATATTCTTGCAAGGTCTGCAGCGCTGTCAGAAAGAAGTTGCGCAACAATACTCATGGCAACAAGTAGAAGAATGGATGCACGTCTTTTCGAAATGCTTCTTGTCCATCTCGGAGCGATGGGCAGCCGCGAAAAGGTGTTTCGAAGAGTACGAACGACTACTCCTCCCGGTCAAGAAGGAATACCTCGAATTCCTGGATCAGAGAGCGAGCTATTGTCCGCCAACACTCCACCAAACTGTCTCTGATGCGAGCAATCTATACGACTACCAAGTTCCGCCATCTATACTTACAGAGATTGATGAGGCTTACCAGTTCTGGACAGTCTTCAACCCTACCTCGGCGATCGATGCACCAGACCCACTGGGTGCTTACTCTTACAATCTCGCACCTTCTGATTGGAATGCGGAGTTTTCTTTGAATGATAATATGGACATGACACCGGAGTTATAGTGCTCTTTGGCGTTTTTTCGGCCACGTTTCTTCTCTCACCGGCATTTACGTCTTTCAGCTTGATGACAATACAGCACTGTACCGATTTTTACTTATCTAGCACCTGTAATCGTTGCATGTTTTCGGTTTGGATTAATGAAATACCCTTGGGTCGCGGGTTTACATCTCTTTAGTGGTATCTTGTTGCTCTAGACTTCCGCTGAGTATCAAGCTTGATATCACTTTGTCTGGAACTCAACACCTGTGAATATGCATACAACCAAACGTCACTGGACACGCTTTGGGCGCACAGTCGATAATCATGAGGTTACATTCGCCAAAGCCTGCCGTGGCTTATTTCCGCGTACCCATATGCGGGGCACGCGGCACGGGAGTCGCCCGGTCACGTCCAGCGTCTACCAATGTGTCGGGTTGGAGTCGACGGCGCCGAGAGTGCTGCACTGCCAACACAGAGCGCATTGAGCCCCCACGCTGCGGTGGGGAAGGACGGGCCATTTACCCGCAGAGTGTCCGCATTTTCGCTCGTCACGGCAGCGAGAACTATCGTCTTACACACCTACCGGCGACATAGTCACAAGACGTCTCCACTCGAGGGGTGAGTTCAAAACGTAGTCAACTACTTCAGTGTCGCGCGTGATGAGTTTCGACAAGCATATCGATCTCCTGACACGGAATGCAGTGGTACAGACAGCCCATGCAAGCGCAAACACATCTGACGTGTCCTTGTTATGGGCTTCTATGTACGTGACTGCCAGCAGCCCTGTGGAAGTATAATGGCTTGATATTTTGTTCGCACAAAGACGAGTATGCAGTACATCTATCCTATAGCTCGAAATTCAGAGTTTCCTCCGGCTGTGTCGGTTTTCCCATTTTCAGCACTGCCTTTTTGCTCTTCAAGTCCATGACAATGTTGAACAGCGTACCACTCCCAGTCTCCTCCGTCTCAGATCTACATATCGCACCCGGTGCATTCTGCTGGTCGGCAAACAATTGAGTCACGTCTTCCCAGCTCGGGTCGTCGCCCAGCGCTCCGACGTTTGTTGCCATTGTTTGAACCCTAGTGATGGAGTCCTTGAGCCATACAGTATCGACTTCGCCAGGGTGCTCCAGCAGCAGATGGTTCGTATGAATGACTCTTGAGCTAGAGTCTGGCAACACGTGCGCAAAAGTACTCTTCGTGAATTCTAAGCCCACGGCCGTGTTCGCATCAGCCATGAGGATGTGGGCTGAGGATGCCATGCCGAAACTCTCCAGCTTGCGTACTGCTTCGTCGACTGACGTGCTCTCCAGTGCCATTCTCAAGCCAAAGTGAGCGGGCATCCGAGTAGAATCCACGCCGTGAACTTTGATGGCGTTGAACAATGTGCCTACGCCGCTGCTGTTGAAGCCGATCTTTCCGATTATGCCTGCCTCAGTTACTTGGATTATAGTGGGCTTGTTCGCTTGTATGATCTTGGTAACAATCAGGTTCTCTTGCTGCTCGGTCATCCACTGGGCACCGTCAGCACACGATCATCGTTTTTGTGATCTTCTAGAGGTGCTGCATACATCCCAGTTCTGCGCCAACCATGCCCGGTCCTGGGTATGCCACGCGAGGGCAGTGCAGCCATCGCTGAATAAGCCAAAATTGATCTCAGTCCGGACGTTTATCGCTACGATGTCTAGCAACTCGCGTCCGGAGCCGTCGGCAATGCCTTGCATCTCTTCGTGGAAGTTTGGCCATTGCGCCTTTGCTCGCTGTTCGAACGTCGACGCGTGCTGAAGGACCTGCGGCCACCTTTTCTTGCAGTTCTTGAGGAAGAGACACGCATAGAACTCGATGCAACGCGCGATCTGTAGTTTCGCGGCTTTACCGTGTTGGTAGCCAATCTGTCTGAGATCAGCATAATCCTGGTCGCTGTCGCGTTCCGCCGCGGCAGCAGGAATGACGTCACGCGTCACACTTACCTCATACGGGGTGCCCTTGCACTCGACAAACAACATCGTGTACGACAACCCGACAGATATTGGGCATGAAGAAGTACAGGAAACAGTCTAGACTTCTGTTCGAAGGAGTGACTTGCTAAAGTCTATCTGTCTGCGGTATCGCTTTCGGCAATCCCACGCACATGCCCCGCCTTCGATGTGCGCTCAATTCCGTCCCGAGCTACGCCACACGCTCCTTCGTTTCTCATTCGTTGTAGAGGTGCAACATGAGTAATTTTCTGCGAACTGCGCTGCATGAGCACGAATGCAGTCCATGGACCACTGCAAGCTAATCCATCGGCGTTGAAACCCTGTTACTACCTGCTTGTTTAGTGCTTCGGAGTATATCACAGCAACGACTGGTGAACCACCCCCCTGGTATCGAAACTGCCGCGGACAGAAATGGCAAGCACAACTGTGCCGCGGACTATGGCTTTTGAATACGCAAGGAGTTGACGATAAGAGAGGATTGCATCTTGCCTGCATTCCATCATTTCCCTCAGCGTTGCTCCATAGCCAACGACTTTCTTGCCTTCAATTTTGCCTCAAAAATCATGCCAAAACGCGTGCTGTGTACTTATGGTATTGACATCGACGCGGTAAGTAACACTTTTGCCATCTTCGTTCGAACACTCGCTGACTATCGGCACACGCAGGTGAGCGGGTGGCATGTTGAGTTCATTTGGAGTGTCTCATGAGCACCAGCTAACAGCACACCAAGGCTGAACACCAAAACTGGAGCCCCTGCCAATCCAACCGATGTGTCCCGCGGTGTCTTTGGTGCCACTGTAGGCATTGATCGTCTGCTGAGGCTTTGGGACAAATACGACATTAAGACAACATGGTTCACACCAGCACATTCCGCGGAGTCGTTTCCACATCAGATACGCAGAATCGTCGAAAAGGGACATGAGGTCGGGCTACACGGCTACACACACGAATTCGTTTCTCTCTTAAGCGAACAACAGCAAAGAGACGTCTTGGAAAAGAGCATACAGGTCTTGACAGACATTGTAGGCAAGAAACCGCGCGGCTGGACTGCGCCTGCTTGGAGCACGAGTAGGGAAACGATCAAGCTTCTCGAAGAGTTCGGAATTGTACGATTAGCATTGTCTAATATCAGGCATAAACAACGAGCTGACATCTACTGTAGGAATACGATCACTCCTTCATGCACCATGACTCTCAGCCCTACTACGTTCCTTCCCCGCACCTCAGCACATATACAGAAACCGACGTATCAAAGCCGGCTTCCCATTGGATGAAGCCCATGTCAAGAATGAAGCCGTCCGCAGTCGTGGAGATACCTGCAAATTGGCATCTGGATGATTGGCCACCTTTCCAGCTCTCACTTACACAGCCAAGCACGCATGGCTTCGTCGATACCGCGGTCATCGAGCGCTTATGGAAGGAACAGTTTGAATTTCTCTATCGCGAATGTCCGGACGACGGAAGCTTCATCTTCCCAATCAGTCAGTAATATCCTTGGAATAGCTGTATGTGAGACAAAGACTGACTTCGTACACCCATCTTTAGGTATCCATCCACAGGTGAGCGGCAAACCACAAGTCATCTTACTGCACGAGAGGCTCATAGAGTGGATCAATGGGCACGAAGGAGTGGAATGGGTCACTATGGAGCAAATCGTTGATGAGTTCAAAAGCGGCAATTTGAGCGGCGCGACCGTAGAGGGTGGGGCGGACGTGTAATGTTACACCGAGATGGAGCCGAGATGTTACTCTCGCACGCCAATAACTAACATCCACTTCTCGGTTGGCACATACCCTGGCAAATCCTCCGACGTCAAACTGAATGAAGAATATCGAAACGAGGTTTTGCAGTCTAAAGTACATGTGCCGTGGCATTCCGCGCTCTTATTGCATAGCCGCTATGCACGAGCGCTACGCCTCGTGAACCGTCCTCTCGGGTCCGGAGCAAGGCGCATTGCACCGAGCGGCGAACAGCGACGATGACGCCCCTCTCTCAAGCGAGGTCCTAGTCAAGAAGATGTATTTGAAATTCTGTGCCCCAAGTCTCACAATCTGGCCAACATCTCCAGGGTTTGCTTTTGCATACCCAGGTAGTACATCAGCACCGTACGTTATCTCTGCTTCTTCAACGAGCTGTGAACTTTCTGTGGAACTTCTGTGATTACTGCATCATGCGCGTCAGAAAGAAAGGTGGATCACATTTCGACTCACTCTACCATGTATCGCCCCTTCCGGTCTAAGTGCCATACCCCTTCTCTATCCATCCAAGCTACCTGTCACACGCAACACCTCGTCCAGATCTTCCATCCAAGCTCCATCATACAACTCCAAACCCACTGCCTTCTTGCTCCAATCCCCATCTCAGGCCTCAACCAAGTTCACATTCGTATACATCCCACCAAGTCGTCTTTAAGTCCCTCGCCATGATATCCACACTCACTTTCCGCGCCTCGTCTTTATACTTCTCCTCCACCTCATCCGCCTGTTCAAACCTCCACACCATCTCAAAACATTCTATCTTCAGCCTCCTATCCGAATACTCTGCGTCCACTCGGTTGCAAAGCGCCTGCTCAGCCAGCGGTAGTGTTTTCTGTCGGCCGGGTACTTCGACGCTGAGAACGTGGGCTTCTTTGAGTACCTCCATCTTGAGTATTATGACGCGATTTTTGGTAGGGTGTGTGACGCGTATGTTGATGTAGAAGAATTGCTCGTTGTGTTCGGGGTAGGCGCATGTCTTGGTTTCGGGTGTTGCGGAGACGATTTTGTAGAGGGCGCGGGAGAAGGTCGTGGCTTTTGTGAGGACGATGAGGTAAATGGGTGCCATCTTTTGCGCACGAATAGGCGGTGGACAGGGAACCTAGCGATGGTTAACTTTGCTGAAGTGGTGACTTGTATTGGACTACTCACAAGCAGGAGCGTTTGCGTTTCGACACGTGATGAAACTACCTGATGTTGCTCACCGTTAGGTCCAGAGCTCACACGTTGCGTGAACTTCACAGAAGCTTCTGGCAATATACATGGGTTTTTTCCATTGCAAATCATGAGATAGTTTCCAAGGCAGATGATCCGCTGTAACTACCCATGAATCGAACAGTCTACAGTGTGGATAATGCAGCTACCTTTTGTATCAATTCTCCAGGCACTCCTTTCTTTTTACTCCCCGATCAACATCGTCGCCTATATAGGGGAATTTCGCCTCTCTCTTGAGGTTTTCATACAGGCTCAACGCTGCGAAGACTTTGGAATCTCGGTCACCTTCCCAACATAGCTCAGTCGGTGGCACAAGCTTAAGCTTGATCTTCTCTCCCTCTTTCTCAAGACCTGTCGCTTTATCTCTGAAGAGAGCTTTTCGACTTCTTCTTTCGAGAGGTTCCATGGCAAGTAGAATGGTATCGATTCTTCGAAGGGCTTGCCAGCAAATCTTTTGATGTTCAGAGCCTATCGATGTTCTTGTGAAGGCTTGATGTTTATTCGAGATTCGATTGAGGACATGACGTTTAGATACGCGTTTCGTTGAGAAACGTGAAGACTTGTGTTCGAAACATTCATGCAAGAGCTGAGGCGAGGGAGCATTTGTATCTTTGGTGCTGCGACCCATCCACAGCTGTGAGCCATGAACTGTTGGACGCTAGCACTCGATTTGGTCAGTTATGACATGTTGTGGCGAACAGTCAACAGACAAAGATCGTAACAATATCTGATATGACGCGTAAGTGAGCAGCAGTCGAGCTTCAGGCTTGGGAATTCTGTCAGTCACAGTGTATTGCAAGTGTCAAGCCGCGGGAATGACATGACGCTAGGTCCACTTCCCCCATCGAACCCATGTTCCGCCCCACCAGAGCGCATGCAAGTGCGACCGCGGAACGCGGAGTATCTCGACGCGCCACCCGCCAAACTTCACGCATCTGTTTGCTCACCACGTCCAAAGCTTCTAGCCTTCTTTGACCTCTACCGTGTGCACTGGGCGTTCCAGCTCCCATTTCAGCATTTGACGTACAATCAAATCCTCCGCCGACTCATTATGGGCACTTTGACCGCAGACTGCCCACGCCTGGATACACATTGTCCGCACAAGCTTGCCACAAGTTGTCGATTGACCTCCACTCCGAACTGCTGCGCATGTGCCGACGAGAGAGTCCACTCGCGGACGTATCGCGTGTACATTGACGGCGTGGGCTTTGTGAACCGCGGCACAAGGTGGCAAGGCTATTGCTGGTTCTGTAAAGGTACAATATCGCTCGATAGATTCTCGAGTTGCGAGATCGTGGGCTGACTATAGACTAGAGTTCTGGAGCAACCGTCTTGCCGCGACCGACCCTCCCCTCGAAATCTCCCAGACACGCGTACCCGAGATACCTGACCAGACCGAGTTCCTAGAGCGATGGTGGGAGTTTCACCAGGGCTATCGCATTGCGAAGATGCCAGATGGGACCGAGCAACGCATGCCTGTGATAGGGGAGCCATTCCGGGAAGTCAGCCCTGGCTTCCTTCCGCGAACATTGGATCAGTTGAGGGCTGGTGTAGAGAACGATGCGAGCAGACCAGAGAACCGACTTCGAAG